ATATGGTGACTAGGAATTTTTTAAACAAAAATACGCATACGTTATTTGCGATTAAGTACTCTACGATTTGTACAGGAACTCTACGAAACCGAACTTGTAGAATTGTAAATAAATCTGATTTTATAACGCACGCGAACTCGAGAGCGCGCGCGCGCGCATCATTCACCGCATACACGAACGCGATCTAGTTTTAAAATAGTACTTCGACTTTCGAACGAACGGCTTGTACAGGTTGTCCCCTCCGCCCCCACGCCCCGTTTTTGTACATTCTCGGCCAGACCGAAAGGCAGTCTGACGCTTTTTCAAAAGGGAAAACGAAAAAGTAATGGTCACGATCGGGTTAGTACGACAGTGTGCGATCGTCCGCGCACGTACTACCCACACACGCTAACCCGTCTACCGCCGTTAGCCATTCTATCCGTAAAAGGAGACGCGTGGACCCGAACTCCTTCAGATGGTTCGGGGAAACGAGAAACAGAATAAGCTAATCGGATTCGCTTTGTTATCGCATTAAGGAGATATGGGGAGCTTTCGTTTGACGTTCGTAATTGTCAGCGGCTGTGATCGATCAAGTGCTCGATCCGCTCGATTAAAGAGAGAAAAAGAAAGAAACGTTAAATCCGTCGACCTGATTCAAGATTGTTCTACCAAAACGAAGAGTTACCTATGAACCTGCGAAAAATAAAATCAATATTTTTCTCTGAAAATGTGTATTTTTGATAGCGATGGACGGCAGCGTTTAGCCGGAGCTTCGATTTTGCAATTAAGGAAGAAATGATTGATCGACCGAGAGAGATTTGTAGTAGTTTCATTTGGCAATGAGCTCGCCGATTGGGGACTGGCAACGAGCTTATAACGAGGTGGTTAAATGATGCCGATTTGTGTGGTCTTACGGTATAGAGAACAAATGAAACACGCAGCGAAAGTACGCTGTATTATTAGCCTGGTGCATATGGAATGTCCATCCTAACCAAATGATTATTAAAAAAAAGTCGTTTGTTCAACTTCTCACTCTAATAACGATTTCTCTACCAAACCTTAAGTTTCCAATTTAAACGTGTACAATCAATTTCGAAAATCGTGATCGAATCAATCGTCTCAAATCATTCTTTCCAAAAATTTCAAAAATATTCTTCTCCTAACATACAAACATATACGATTAAAACATTATTCAAACTAACCATACCGAAAAATTCAACTCCTCGTTGAACATTACATACGTGCCAACCTAATACTCTTCCTTAAACAATTCTATCAGCTTCCTCAACGAAAGGGAATAAATGATACTCTCGTTTTCTTCAAATACAGCATCTTTATGTATATATATATATTTTTTTTATATTCAACAGTAACATCACAGTAGCTTCATATACAATAAATTGTTTTCTTTGTTGTTTGTTCTGTTCACAATCTTGTCCGCCATCGTATTCGTTTACCACGCGAGCGTGACGCACGGCGAGCCTCGGAATCGTTTTCCCGTTGATTTACAAAACTCTCTTGTTACTCTCGGGGAAAGAGTGGCGGAAACAGGAGAGAGATTTCGCCGAGAGGAGCGTCGGGTCCGCGGATATTATTCGGATCCCCCGGGACGTCCGCCGCGTTTCCGTCCCCGATACACGTTCCACCCCCGCTGAGACGACCGGGTGTCCGCGAATAATGCGAGCTCAGCGGAAACGTCGCTCCGTCGACGGTGAATCCGAATGATATTGCTGACTCGCCGCGAACATGGCTCGTGCTCGTGAACAAACGGGTCTGTCCGCGACGACGACGACGGCGACTCGACGATCTCGATCATCGACGAAGTAATCGGAGACCTCTTCAACGGCCATTATTGAAACAACCACCTCGGCCCTCTTTAGCTAATTATACCTTATCAAAGATAAATGCTTAACACCTTCACCGCCACGAGAATTTAGAGCGTTTCGTATAATATTATCGTATCATGACAAAATCAAATTAAAATTAACCCTTTGCCGACGAATATTCTTTAAAATACAAAACCTTTTGTAGAAGCCAAATTATATATCTGATGCTTGAATAATAGAGGAAAGAGAAATTATGTAGTGATCTTTTGATATTTTAGTAGTTAAATCATCTGTTCGCAACGTAGTATTCTAAATATGAAAGTCTGACCTTGTTGAAATGATATTCCTCTCTAAAGGGTTAATTAGGAATAATTTGGTATCGTAGCTGTTACGTAACACATTATTTAGCTACCCAAGTAATTCAATGTTTTGAGACAGTGTTCTTCTTATAATGGTTTTCAAGTCATTTCGACGCTCTGGCCATCGTGATCACCGTGGCGGTCAACATGTTGACTAAATACCGACTCGTCGGAAACTCTCAACGGATTTCAGTTTTTTTCTCACGTGTACGCGACACTATACGCACGCACACATACACGCATACATTATATTGGTTTGGGCAGAAAGTCTTCTTGCAGGTTTTTCGTGGATTGTGGATTAGTTTGATTTTGGTAGTTTCGGTGGGATTCTTTTGGGAATACGATTGTGGTTTGTTAGTGATTCGATGGAAGGGAGAAGGGTTTGTGATTAGTAGACTGTGAATTTGAAACGTATGAAGTTCGTGTTTGTGGAATTTTTTTTTGAGTTTAATACAGCTTCGTTTCATTTTTGGTTTATCGAAACTGATAAAGAAGTGATTGAAATCATATTTTGATCTTAGTTTGAGAAATCCTTTTGTGAATTCGTGTAAAGTTCTTTGGATTAATGCTTATTGTTAATCTCCATGTGCTTTAAAAGCTAGATAGAAATAATAGGAAAAATATTTGTTTTTAATTTGGAAGATGTTAATGGTATTCATGTTTCATTGTATTACTTCCAAGAAAATGAATATTTTATATAAGATGTCCCACAAAGTTCTGTACAAATTTTATCGATACGTACATCTAAAAGTAAGACTGAAATGTAATGCGACAAAATTCCGTGATCAATACAATAAAGATATATTCGAAAAGAAATAATTAATAAGTTTACTATTGCACGTGAAATCGCGACGAAATTTCATATATAGATAAGAAATTCAGTATCACATAGATATCCAGCTTACATACTCCTATTATAGCGTTGAAATAAGGTATTCACGGATTTTTAGTTACATTACACTAGTTATATTTTTAGCAGCAGAACAAGACAACATTCGTACAGAAACCTGTAAGACACCCTGTACACAAATATTCGAAATTAGAAAATCATGGATAATACAAGGAATCAACATAAACATTCACATCGTTACATCAATCAAAAGCAAATATAAATTATCCAGAAATAATATCTCTAGAATCTGAGAATTGAATTAAAGTTCATTACATTATATCGTATTCGTTCGCCAATTTTTTTAGCGCTTTTGATTGTATTCGTTTTCTTGTAACGTGTGTTTACGTCTAAGAACACAAACGCTATGTCGAAAAGAACGGGAAGACTTTTTGGTCAAACCGATACAACTCACGGAACACAGACTGTGAGCGGTCACCATTAGTGTCTGTTGATTGTATTCGTGTTCCGCAGACAGAACCGAGTATCCGGGTACTTGAGAAACACTCGATGATGAACGGTTAGCCGAGGACTCGGGATACACCGGAAACGGGTAGTTTTTACACCCGGGCCTATCAGTTGTGAGTATCATATAAACCATGAATGACTGACAATACTCATGTAACGAAAATAAAGTATTCGAATAAAGAATGAAACCCGAAAAACCATTGTTTTCGTCACTTTTCTGTTCTCCCGCTTTTTTTCTCGAGATTGCGGTAGAACCTCCATTACGCAAATGGCGTTCACGAGTGGTACCGTACGGTTGCGGGGGAATGCAGAGGATTCGAATTGGAACGAAACGTTCCCACTCGACCATTAATGGAAAGTTTTTGTTTAATTGGTTGAACGATAAAGGTGATACGGTTCGGGATTATGTAATACTTCTGACAGCGTTTATCTCTGCAGATAAATATCTGAGCGGAATCAATAACTTTAACCGATAACAATCTATGTCAAAATAATTCTTGTAAGAAATTTATATTTTTTCTGTTCTTATAAAATAATAGGAAAACAAGAATTAATTTCCCTTAATGAATCATTGCCTAGATAAAATAATG